GTCAAGATTTATTTGGCTGCCGTTGTGAATTTCCACCCGATGATGATATCAGCCACTTGGTTGAGCGATCATTTGCGATGGTCAAGCGGCTTCCAAGATAACAGAGCTACGAAGCCGGCAGTGGGGGCCTTGCCCCGGTGACAAATACTCAAACACGGGGGGCGACAACTCGGAGCGCACGCCACGGCGCAGACAAACACACACTCAGAATATTTATCCCCACTCGAGAAATCGGATGAGCGATAAAGCTATTTTTTCCCCCATACATGTCCAGTAGGGGTCACGGGGTCAGAACACGGCCGCGTGCGGTTTGCAACCCGCTCCCTCCCAGCCCCCACCAGCCCCCACCAGCCCCCACTAGCCCCCACTAGCCCCCACCAGCCCCCACCAGCCCCCACCAGCCCCCACTAGCCCCCACCAGCCCCCACCAGCCCCCACCAGCCCCCCACCAGCCCGCGCGTCCGTCCTAATTGCACCTAATCCATGGAGCAGTCGTCCACGTAGGGGAGGTCTAAGTGGGCTGGGTGACTCTTGGGGCTACTTCTGCGGCAAGGGAAGGGCGCAGATCCAGCGCCCCCTGAGATCATAGATGGGGTGGGTTTCCAGCCATCGAGTAGCTCCACCCAATATTACATTCACATGGCGGTTTGATTTTTTTGTTTGTCCTCGCCGTCGTTCCAGGTTCACGTACGAAGTGATTTCAGAGGCGGTCACCGTTGACTGTACAACAATCCATTATTTAAATAACTGGTTTCAGTGGGCGTAGCGTGCGGTTGGCACGGGCCCCGGTACAAGGATTAAAATGCCTCCCTTCCCACCCACCCACCCACCCCTCCACTGCTCAGTTCCACCCCCACGGGGCTTTGCGTAGCCCGGAACATTGGCTCATCCGGCTTGTGGCGAGATGTTAACGCCCTCGCCTGGTATACACGAGGTCGTGGGTTCGACCCCGACCCTGACGCCTGCTGCTGTATATTTGGAGTTGGCGTCTCTCTCTCTCTCTCTCTTTCTCTCCCCGTGGTCGCGTGGATTTCTTTTCTCCGGGTTTTCCGGTTTCCCCCTCCACATTTAAAATCAACATCACGTGCTCAGAGTATTTGGCTGCTATACAGTGCCACGTGGTGATAAGAAGCTACTTCCGTTGCGCTTTCATTTGTGATGTCCGGGACCCTTCTGAAAAGAGAGCTACATGGCTCAGTGGGCCTTAACTGGTGAAATAAAAAATAAAATATCTACTTTGTGGGCCGTTGCACCGCCTGCACACTCGATAGCCCACACACGTGGCCGCTTTTATGCATCGACGAGGCACGGGCAGCGATATTTAGCCGTTCGCACACCGGGTCCAGAATGCAACCACCTCGATCGAGACCCACACGCATCGTCGCATATCACGGCTTTGGGGCCTTCCATAGATGACGTCACGCGATTTTGGCCGATTTTTGACCCCCCCCCCCTCCTCATCACACTGCGTCACAAAAAGTCAGACCCCCCCCTCAAATATGACGTCACAAAGCTCTGCCCCCCCCCCCCAAATTATATTTCCATTTTGAAAATAAAACATGCTTCAAATCGCTTTAAACTATTGTCATTGTAGTGCGTATTTAATGTGGCGCTGCACTCTGATGTTGTAGGAGTGTTGTTATAAAAAAATATTTTAGTTGTTATAACAATTCTATATTTATTTAAAATTGCGCATTATGATGTGACGTCACATTTCTCAACCCCCCCCCCCCCTCGTCTCACATCGTCACAAACGTCTGACCCCCCCCCCCTAGGTGCGTGACGTCATATATGGACGGCCCCTTTGAAGTTGCTTCTTCTCCTCCTCCTCCGTATCGACACGTGTCGCTGTCACCGTCACCAACCGAGTCGTCGGAACATCGCCACCGCCAGGCGGATGCGCGCCGTCTCGTTCGCGAGTGTTCAAGTTCAAGTTTATTTATTAGGTATAGCCCTGTGAGCCACTCGGCTCTTGAATCGGGTGCAACCGCAACAAACAAAAAACAAAAACATGAACAAAAAAACATCTTAAAGTGAATATGTGACTGAGTGCAAACAGAAAATCCAAGAAAAGACAGCAAAATATTGCAGAAAAAAACACCGTACACCAACGCTGTGTGCAAACATCCCAGTGGGATGCAAGTCAAACAACCAACAACAACAACAACAACCACAAGACAACTTAGATTAAGGCCATCAGTCTAACTCTGTACTACAACAAACACACATGGCTAAACCATTACACTTTTCGAAATCACCGAAATAAAGCCATGAAACCAATGAAACAGTGGAAAGTCGCGAAGACAACGAGCCAGGGCCGCGCGATGGTGGCCTGTAAACCCGAACTATGGGCCACGGCGTCGGCCCACAGAGACGCACGCGGACACATTGAAATATTCATAGAGGAGATGCATCAAAAGAACAAGCCGCAATGCGACTGTGGCCATGCGACCATAACGACGGACCGTACATTGAAACAACTGCAGTCTGCCACTATGAGACATCTCCTTTACCAGTGGCAAAATATAGTGATAGGTTTTTACCCTTTCAACTGGTACAAAAACTGACACCTTTATACAAGGCATCATGTTTGCAATAACCACAACACAAGCAGTCAAAATGCAAACAAAAAGAAACAACTCTGTTTCTTTTTGGACAGTGCATATCATTATCATTATCAGAGTTTTCTTTTTGTTTGCATTTTGACTGCTTGTGTTGTGGTAATTGCAAACATGATGCCTTGTGTAAAGGTGTCAGTTTTTGTACTAGTTGAAATGGTAAAAACCTATTACTATAACCAGTCTGCCCTCCTCAAGGAAGGCAGTGGAGCTGTGGACTTTTAAATCATTTAGATTGAAAACTCACATTTATTTTTCGAACAGCTTTTTAGTGTTTAGTTTGTTGTCCTTCCCCCCGCCACCCGCACCCCCGATTTAGCGCGGTTGGCTACGTACGGTGCAAAAGCAATTCACCGATGTAGAACAAAACAAAGATCTCCCGTGTAGCCTTAACAGACTGTCGGGGCAAGTGCTGTTAGCGAGCACCTCTGAAGGCCGGCACGGCACACGAGGGCGTGGGGTGGACAGCACCACACCAGACCGCCTTTGTCTCCCTAGTGGCGTTGTTTACACACCGCACCAGGTAATCATTTGAGGCTGAGTCGACCCACGGGAGGCCCAGGACCGGTTCTGATAATCGTCACCACCGGTGTTGGCCGTGAGCGGGAATCGAACCCGGGTGGCCAGCTCCGCAGCGCAGCGCGTTAGTCGCTACACTGCCGCTCTCCCGCAAAGATGCCCCGTATAGCCTTAACTGACTGTAGGGGCAAGTGCTGTTAGCGAGTAGCACCTATGAAGACCGGCACGGCACACGAGGGGGTGGGTGGCCAACACCACGCCCGACCGCCAGCAGCAGACCTCCTGAGCAGATCGCCACAGGCTGGAATATAATCCGTTCTGCAAAGGAATCCGAAACTAGCATCGTGGATTTAAAAAAAACACGTCAAGGATAAAGGGAACTCCACGCCGCCTCCACAAATGAATAACAAGTTAAAGCGGCCCGGAGTTTGCTCGCTCTGAAACAGGTGCTGCTCGATACAATTTGTCTGCTAAACAAATGAGGCTGCTGGACCGAAAGCACGTTCTGTGTATTTATACGTGGAGACACAGAACGGAGTTCGGTATATAACGCAATTTCATGTTACCCCGTAATGCTTCAAATCTAAATTGAAAACTAATTTCTTTACAGCTAAATTTCACAACGGCAGCCAAATAAATATTGACCTAAAGCTTTCGTGAGTGCAGGGATTCATATTCTTGGTTCGTTCGGTAAAGTCACGTAGAAGAGCTGTTTTAAATGCCACGCACAGCCTCGCTGTGCGTCGATGTACGTATGCATGCACGCAACGCTGAACTTCTTTCGCACCGTACGTAGCCAACCGTGCTAATCGGATGTGCTGGGGGAAAACGACGACAAACTAAACACCAAAACAAAGACAGCCCTAAAGAAGTGAGTTTGTCGATCTCGATGGTTTAAAAGTGCACAGCTCCCCGGTGGCTTCCTCACGTCGGAAGCAAGGGCCCACATTTCCCCCCGAGAACATTCGAAATTTCTCCTGCACGGTATCCATTGCACAGCCTTCCCCCACTCCGCCACCACCACCGCCGCCGCCACCTCTCGAACGTCTGCCTCGCGACACGCGCAGTGGCTCAGAAGGTTGGGGCGCCACAGGCAGGCAAGGGCACAGGGCAGCTTGGAGACGATCTCGGCAGAGCCGCGCCACTCTGTGCACTTTGAGGCAGCCGAGTCGCTCCACGGACCGCAGCTATAGGCAGCAGGCGACGCACTTCGCAACGCAGCCCGTAGCGATCTCGGCCTTCATCACACTCGTTCCGCAGACGGATCTACTCCAGCTGAGCGAGTGTGCGGGTCAGGTCGGCGCGCTGCGCTCCGAGCCCGCCTACCCGAGTTCGGAATCCTCGCTCGAACGACCAAAAAACTGCGGCGAATATCTGAACCGGTTCCAAAGGCGACTCGGCCTCGAACGAGTGCCTGGTGCGGTGTGTAGTAAACATCACCACTCGGGGAGATCAAAGACGACCGGGCGTTGTGCCGGCCACCCACCCCCTCGTGTGCCGCACCGGCCTGCACACGCGCTCCCTAACAGCACTTGTTAAGTCTACACGGGAAGTGGGTGATCTTAGTCTCGTCTCTGAATGTGCGTGACATCGCCGTGTAGTGAGGACGTGCAGACTCACATACCGGTGCGCAGACACAGCCCCATACGCAGACTGATACAGACAGCAGCACACGTGGCGACGCGGCTTGACCCGCCCCTACCGGACGGCAGCGAAACGAGGAGCTTTGCAGCTCATCGGATTCCTCCACTATAAATGAACACTTCAATTCGGACGCACGGGCGGGTGGGTGTGGTAGCGATGGGATGGGAGAGGATGTGATGGGATGGGAGAGGGGTGATGGGATGGGTTAATTGACCTCACCTTGGAATCCCCACGTGTCCGTGCGGAGTGGCCGGGACATGCTGTCATCAGCCGGCTGCTCCAGACAGCATGCGCACCCCGAGGTACAGGCGGTCCTTGTCTCCACGCAGCACAACATAGGCTATGGGGACCAGCTCGGATTACCTCCAGCTCGCCCTGGTGTGTGTGTGTGTGCTCCTCCTGTATCCCTTGTACCAGCACTGTGTGCTACACTACAATATCTCTGGACACACAGACGCACACGCGCGCAGACACGGAAGACTACAGTGTGTGTGTGTGGTGTGCGTGTCAGCACTGCGTGTGTATATCTAGAATAGTGTATCCCTGAACCCACAGAGCACACGCACAAGCTCACAAGGCGCACACACACAGTGGCAGGCGACCGAAGCGATTAGACATTCGCTCATCATCGAGAGACGCGCGTACTGAGTTGTCTGGCCGCGTGATTCACCGCGTGCGGTAACACTCCACGCTGGATGGGAGGGGAGAGTTTGTCAATGCAGGAAGAGACCATCCCAACCGCAGACAAAGGCAAAGATCCCCCGTATAGCCTGTGACAGACTGTTGGGGCAAGTGCTGTTGGCGAGTAGCACCTGTGAATGCGGGCACGGCGCGACACGCAAGGGGGCGTGACTTTAACACGTGGTACTCATTTGAGGCTGAGTCGACCTAGGAGAGGACTAGGACTGGCTCGGATGATTGTCACCGGTGTTGGCCGTGAGCGCGAATCGAACTCCGGTCGACGGGTTCGTAGCGCAGCGCGCTAACTACTGCGCCACCGCTCCCCTCTGTATACTGCATCTAGAAAGACAAAGATCCCCCGTATAGCCTTAACATAATGTAGCTGCAAATGCTGTTAGCGATCACCTATAAAGGCCGGCACGGCACACGAGGGGGTGGATGGCCAACAGCACGCCCGACCGCCTTTATCTCCCCAGTGGCGATGTTTACACACCGCACCGGGTACTCATTCGAGGCTGAGTCGACCTAGGGGAGGCCCAGGACCGGTCCAGATAATCGTCACCGGTGTTGGCCGTGAGCGGTAATCGAAGCCGGATCGCCAGGTTCGTAGCGCAGCGCGCTAACCGCTGCGCCACCGCTCCCCTCCTGTATCCTGCATATCGAGACACACAGACACACACACAAAGACACCCACACACCCCCCTCACTCATCACGCAGCGCGCCCGCCTGAGTCACATTCCCTGGTGAGTGGGCGCGCGCGCGCGCGCTCACCAATCTCGCACGCCTACTCATCGCCGTACTCACCTGCACGCCTGACAGCCGGGTTTGCGATCCACTGCTGGATGAGTGTGCCTTCCACCCCCCCCCCCCCAACGCACCACGCCGTGTGCGAAGCGTGGAGCTGGCCTGCGTGAACATGGTTCGCCGTATAAGCGCCAGTTGCGGGATAGTTGTTCTACCGTAAGCATAGAGAGTACGGTACAACAAGGCGTTTTGTTCCACCGCTCTCTGCTGCTTACGACGTCGCCCGAGGCGGGCCGATATAACAACCTCGTTATGCACCGTGGTGGTGGTGGTGGGCACCCATCAATGTACTCGTCCTATCAAATCTCGACTCGTTTCCCTGAGATCTGTGGCGAGATTTGGGCGCATTCCGAGTGATTTGGTCATGACCTGCTGTATGTGTACAATACGTGCACTGCTGTAAGAGAGAAAGTGAGAGAGTGGGTGAGATTGTCTATGGGTGTGTGGATGTGTGTGAGTGTGTGGATATGTGTGTGAGTGTGTGTGTGGATGTGTGTGTGAGTGTGTGTGAGTGTGTGGACGTGTGTGTGTGTGGATGTGTGTGAGTGTGTGGTTGTTTGTGAGTGTGTGTGTGGATGTGTATGTGTGTGAGTGTGTGGATGTGTGTGAGTGTGTGTGTGGATGTGTGTGTGGATGTGTGTGAGTGTGTGGATGTGTGTGAGTGTGTGGATGTGTGTGTGGATGTGTGTGAGTGAGTGTGTGGATGTGTGTGAGTGTGTGGATGTCTGTGTGTGGATGTGTGTGAGTGAGTGTGTGGATGCCGGTTGGAAACATATAGGCTGGCCTGCCTACGATCCATCCTGGGTTTAACCAGGCTGGATTGTGTGAGGAGCTCACACATCCTTGAAAGATCTGGGCAAAGTTCCATCGGTGAGTTCCTCCGGCACGCAAGGCTGCGGTGGCTGGGTCATGTAACCCGCATGCCCAGCCACCGCATGCCTAAACAGCTTTTGTTCGGCCGGATCGAGGGGGCTAAACGGGCACGGCACAGGCTAGAGAAGAGATGGAGTGATGTGGTACAGGAGGACGTGGAGCTGAGTGGACTTGCCGATGACTGGTACCAGCGGTGTCAAGATCGACCTCTGTGGAGGAGGCTCGTGAAGGACGCTACTGGGCAGTTGGAGGCAGTCGCCCTCCAACAACAACGGAGGGCGGAGGAGCGATGCTCACAACAACGAGCGGAGCGCCGGGTGGCTAAAGCACAGCAAGTTGGCAAAATAGGGGGCACAGGTGGTGCATCAGCCAGTCATCTCGTTCATCTCAGTCAGTCGACCCGTGGCACCTGGGTCTGCCCCGTGACCTCCTTCCAGCGGGCGTTCGACACTTCACGTGGCCTCAGGGTGCACATGGCCTGGCACAAGCGTCGTGGTGACGTCACCGCCACTTAGTGGCGAATGGCGGTTGTTGTTGGATGTGTATGAGTGTGTGGATGTGTGGATGTGTGTGAGTGAATGTGTGTGAGTGTGTGAGTGTGTGGATGTGTGTGAGTGTGTGAGTGTGTGGATGTGTGTGAGTGTATGGACCGCGCTCTACAAAGCCTGGCCACAGAAACAATCAGTGGCGAGTGATATCCGAGCCACCGGCAAACCGGCACCTCCTTTAGGTTAACTCAGCCTTAAACGAATACCTCAATCGGTGTTAGATGCCATGCCATCACATTAGGGAGACAATGCGTAGGCGTGGTGTGGCTAGTCTTACCACCCGCTCTAAAAACCCGGACGGCCTTAATAGGTGCTCGCCGACAACGCTTAAACCCCTACAGTTTGCGTGTATCTTTCCTTTGTTTTTTGTCGTACTTACGTTTAAAATGTAAACAGTGTATTTGCTTGGTGGCCACATCCACCAAATTGCACGCACTCTGCGACACACGATGCCGTTGGTTAATTCATGCGGCGCACAAGTATCCACTCTAAAGATTATTCAATGCGCAGATGCCCATGATTAAAGTATGCCCCGGCGCATTATGCCGACGTATTGATTTGATTCGCGAAAAAGTAACCTTAGAAGGCGTCCCTAAGCTCGCGCTTATTTAACAGCTTCGATCAGAACATGTTTCTTAATCTGTGTGTGATCGGTGGTGCAGCGGTTAGCGCGCTGCGCTACGAACCACGGCGACCCGAGTTCGATTCCCGCACACGGCCAACACCGGTGACGATTATCTGAACCGGTCCTGGGCCTCCCCTAGGTCGGCTAAGCCTCAAATGAGTACCTGGTGCGGTGTGCGAACATCGACACTAGGGAGACAAAGGCGGCCGGGCGTGGTGCTGGCTACCCACCCCCTCGTGTGCCGTGCCGGCCTTCATAGGTGCTCGTTAACAGCACTTGCCCCAACAGTCTGTTTGAAGCTATACGGGGGATCTTTGTCTTGTGTGTCTGAAAAGGTTCGTTTCGCTCCAATGTTACTCTATGAAGGTAGTGACCATTACATTGACTGCTGCGCAGTATATTCACTTGTTCCGGGAGAGAGAGGACGACTCAGAGGCCCGTCAAAGGGACCATCAGGATCACAGTGTGTGTTTATACTGGAGGAATCCGATGAGCCATGAAGCTCTTTTTGACACACGTCCAGTAGGAACCACAGACAAGCGGCAATTCAGCAGCAGTCAAGAGCTGAGCCGGCGCTACCAACAATTTTCTAAGCTGTTGTCTATTTTAAGTTTTTGTTTTTTGTTTGTTGACATTCCACGGCACCCCCGATTGGCACGGTTGGCTACGTACGGCGCTAAATAAGTACACGGACACATTCACGTGTTACCAGCCAATTAATGAGTGCTCACAAGTGGGTGAAAACCGGAGCACCCTGCAAACCAAAAAAAACACCCCACGTGTGCGAGAGGTAGAAACACTCTATCCCGTACAGATGGAACAGATGGGTTGTCCACATTCTGGCGTAGCGCCTTGTGCTGGCGAGAGCCTGGGTTTGGTAACACGAATTGGTCTACCGACTTGCCGGCGAGCTGAAGCAACGAGAGTTCAACACTTGGCACAGGGGGGGGGGGGGGGGGCAATGTCACGTGTGTGGGGCCCCATCTTCCGCGCGTGCGTGATGCTCAACTTATTTCGTCACATTCTTAGGTTTTTTCCGTAAAGTCACGTAGGTAAAAAATTAAAATTTAAATTAATAAAAGTAAAATAAAATAAATATATATACGGAGTTCAATCTTAATTTTAGAACTTTCGTGACTGCAGTAAATGATAATTATATAACCCCCTCCCTCTCTCTGCCTCCTCCCCCCTCTGTCTATTTAAGGCCACCCCACAGAGATGATCACCCCTCTCTGGTTCCTGTGTTGCTCCCTCTATGTATCTTGGTGATATCTGTCTGCTAATATGTCTGTCTATAGTTTTCTGGTTAGATTTTATGTCGCTATTTCATTATACCTGATGATGATTGCTTGTGTTGCAATCGAAACGTCGTATGCTATTATTTAATTTAATTTATTATTTTATCTTTAGACGTGACTTAACCGAAAGAACCAAATAATAATAATTATATACGGAGTGGTATCTCTTATAATCTCTCATGTACTTGATACAGCTATCGGGCTGTGACGGTTCCACCTGAAGACGGAAGCTTGTGTTGCCTCCGAAACGTCGTGATTTTTATTTTATTTTTATTTTATTTTACTTTTATTAATTTACATTTTTTACCTACGTGACTTTACCGTTAAAACCTAAGAATATGAATCTTTGCAGTCACGAAAGCTTCAAATCTAGAATTTTTTCGTCTCCGTGCGCAGACAGCCGCAATACATCGGAGGTGCGGCCCACATCGGTCGTGAAGAGGTCTGTGACGACACACAGCAGTGCAATTACGCTCCCGGATTAATTACGTAAAGCCTATAAATAAACGATGCACACACATTTGCGTTGCGAAATGTCACGGTTAAGACGACCCCCTCCTCCCGCTCTCGACTCACTCAGCCCTTTCCGCTCCCTGGCTCCGCAACAACAAACGACAAACCCCAGCACGTCATTATCCTGAGCCGGGCACCACGCCTTAGCGGTCGAGTTACGTCAACCTGGTTGCATGCAACTACATTGCCAGCGACCGGTTGCGCAACTGGTTTTGTTCCGCGCGCACCGGGGTCGATTTGTAGCGGCTGCTACAAATCTCGCCTTACTGCGCCCCCCACCCCCCCAACTGCTCGCTCGAGTTGCGGACATGAAGCAGTCGCAGTTGAGGCGTTTAAAGTTGCGCGATGTCGAGAGCGATTTGTGGCTGCGTCGACCGTGGCTACTCCAGTGGCGTTGTGGACTGTGGGCTGGAGCCAGTGCCGGATGACGGCTAAGTGCGGGGCCTGTAGCAGATGTTATAAAGGGGCCCTAAATTTCAAACATTGAAACACACATTGTATTACTTGCATAGTAAGGTAATTGTATTTTGTTATTTGCTATACAGCCAGATAATACGACAAATGGCTAACCTTGAACACCCAGTCGTTCGTACAAGTTGAAAGCAGTATAGTACTATAGTAATAGAGCAAGTGCAGAATCACTGAACCGGAATTGATAGCTTGAAAGCGTTTAGCGCGGGGCCCTTGAAAGTGCGGGGCCCGTAGCTACTACACGTGTAGCT